AACGGAGACTTGTCTGTAAGCATCAAGCCCCCTACAGACAACCATACTCCACTGTCCTCTTTTCTAGCCGAGGCCACAGACATAGTGTCCAAAGACTCTTTACAAAAGGTCAAACCAAAAGCAGAAAAAAGCGTCAAGAGTGAATCTAGTGTGGTTCCATCCCCACATTCCTTAAACAACCATAATGACGATGCCACTGACTTGGGGAATGAATGCCCTGGATCAGCCCCTAAGAGCTCAAGTTCCCGGCGGCGCTCAGCAGTGTGGAAACACTTTTATTTATCCCCTGCTGACAGCTCGAAAGCAGTGTGTATTCACTGCATGAATGAGTTCAGTCGTGGCAAAAATGGGAAAGACTTGGGGACGAGCTGCCTTATTCGCCACATGTGGCGAGCCCATCGAGACATAGTCATTGAAGAAAATGGACAGGGCTCAAGTATTCCTCCGCCTTACACCACTCCACCAACATTGCTCTCTCGCACACAAGACTCCGCAGAGGTCAAAAAGGAGTTCCTCTGTACCTCCCATCGCTCTGATGCCATATCAGACGATGTGCCCAATGATGACAGTGAGCACATGACTCTTGAGGATGAGGCAACTGATGCTACATATCAGTCTGAACAAGAGTCCTCAATTGATGCATCTTTTAGACTGAAAGGGGAAAATATACCTCTGTCATCCTCACCAGACGAACACACTGAGGGGCACAGCATATCCCAAGATCAGAGCTCAGTTTTTCAACAAAACAAGAAAATAATGAAACGGGTGAAATCAGAAGTATGGCATCATTTCATCGTCTCTCCTGTTGACCAACTCAAAGCTTTGTGTCGGTATTGTCCCTGTGTCATAAGCCGTGGTAAACGAGGGGACTTTGGCACAAGCTGTTTAATGAGACATTTGATGCGACGGCATCCTGGTGTTCTCAAAACCCAAAAAAGCACAAATGACAAAGTTTCCTCTCCTCAGTCTCCCCATTGTACTCCTGCTGCAGAGGACGACATGGCAACAAATGCAACGGACAGTCCTGCTGCTGAGAACAAACATCACACCCTGCCTGTTTTCAGCAAAAAGACTTCAAAGCTATGGAATCACTTTTCTATTTCCTCTGCAGACCCAACAAAGGTGGTCTGTTTGCACTGTAGCCGCACAATTAGCAGAGGCAAAAAGACAACCAATTTAGGCACTAGTTGCTTATTTAGGCACATGCAGAGATTTCATGGGCATGTGCTTGAAAATAATAGTAATATCTCAGGTGATGTGTCATCTGCTGAAATTCAAGTTAAGCAGGAGCTCATGGACATTTCTTCTTTTGAGGAGAATGCAGAGAAGTTCAGTGAATGCCACCCAGCTGCCAAAAAAATCACCAAACTCATTGCAGAAATGCTTGCACTGGATCTTCAGCCATCAACTGTAGTGGAAAATGTTGGCCTGAACAGATTACTGGAATACCTCCAGCCACAGTATTCTCTACCTTCCTCATCCTACTTTACCAGCACTGCAATACCAGAAATGTGTGGAAGCGTGAAAGAAGTAGTTCTGACCCACCTCAAGGAGGCTGAAGGTGGAATCATCCATTTCACGACAAGTGTTTGGGTGAGCAACCAAACTCAAGAGTACTTGATACTTACAGCCCACTGGGTAACGTTTGAGTCTCAAGTTCTGCCTCAGGGGCAAGATTTCCACTGCTCAGCCCTCCTTGGTGTTTCTTCAATTGACTGTGACTACAATGTGCTGAACATACAAAAGCAGCTTGAATATCTTTGGGACACCTGGATTGGTTCCTCGGGCCTTAAAATTGGATTTACTGTAACAGATAATCAAACTATTGGAAGCATACTAGAGAGCAGTGATCACACCACCATGCAGTGTTTTGTTCATAGTATAGACCTCATTGTTAATGAAGCCATAAAAAGTCAGAGGATGGTTCAGAACTTGCTTAGTATTGCTCGAAAAATCTGTGAGAGAGTGCATCGTTCTGCTAAAGCAAAGGAGAAGTTGGCAGAGTTGCAAAAAGCTTATCTGTTACCTGAAAACCAGCTGGTTCAGGATGTTCCCTCTAAGTGGAAAACATCGTATTTTATGCTTGAGCGATTAGTAGAGCAAAAGAAAGCCATTGATGAGATGTCAATAGAGTGCAATTTCAGGGAACTGATAAGCTGTGACCAGTGGGAAGTCATGCAGTCAGTCTGCAATGCTCTTAAGCCTTTCGAGGTAGCCTGCAGAGAGATGAGCAATCGCACAGCAACACTAGGTCAGGTCATTCCACTCATTCACATACTCAACCGAAAAATAGATATGCTTTTTGATGAGACCATGGGTATTGACAATATGCTCAAGTCTTTAAAGGAAGCAATGGTGGCTAAAATGTCCCATACACTTCATGACACCAGATACATATGGGCAACCATGTTGGACCCGAGGTATAAGACCTCCCTTTTTACTGAGGAAGAGGCAGAGCAGTGTAAGCATGACCTCATACAAGAGCTTGAGGTGTCTACATCTAACTCTGCTGAGACTAAACCACCACTGTCAAATGGATGCAGTGAAATACCAGCTTCATCAAACAGCTTGGCCTCAAACAAAGAAAACCTCTGGGCTCTTATGGATGACATTAGACAGAAAATCAAGCAGGAGGAGAGACCAAAATCATTGGAGCTTGCAGTGCTGGAGTATTTGGAGGAAGACATTCTTGACCAGAGTTGTGATCCTCTGGATTATTGGAACCTAAAGAAGTTACTGTGGCCTGAACTTGCCAAAGTAGCTGTACGCTATGTGGGTTGTCCACCCAGCATTGTACCAGCAGACACACTTTTTAGCACATCACGTCTCAACTGTGCCCTGAATCAGTCCCGGCCATTGCTAGAAAATCTTGAAGGACTTCTATTTTTAAAGGTCAACCTTCCTTTGGTATATTTTCAGTACTGATGATTGCGTATTTATATTTGCAAGACTGTTTCTTAGAATCTCAACTTTTCTGAGAAGGCCTAGCTAAACAATTCATTTTACTGAGGTTCATATTCTTCAATACACCGAGCATTTGGATGATATTTAATTGAATAAAAGATTGTTTGAGTACTACTGTTGAGTACACTTGATAACTGGAGTCTTATTTCTGGTGAAAAGTGTTTTCAGGGAGGGAGGGTTTGCTAGCTATAGGGGTAGTTATTGTTTGTTGCTGTACTTCAATTCCTTTTATTAAATTTATTTTATCTTTGTCTTCTCTTTCCTTGTGCCTTATACAAACTACTTCAGGTCAACATGCTGTAAATATTAACTGATGTGCAAAGCAAGTCATAGTCTTCTGATTTAAATGGTTTTATAAAATTGAAACTACATGCTGAATACTGTTTTTATATAAATACATGGGCCACAATAAATGCTGTGACAGATGTTTTAAATGTATTTTATTTAATTCTGTGATTTTTGTGGTTCATGGTACTGTTAGAATTAGGGTTAATTTTATTTTTGCTGATGATTTTGTTTGTATCTGTTAAAATGTACATAATGCTGTACTTTCAGGTTAAAAGCTTTTTAGAAAATTTGTCAAGCACATTTTTTTAATCAAAAGGACTAAATTATGGGACGTCAAGGAAATGTACTGTACATTTTATAAATAATTTCCAAAATATAATTTGATAGAGGAATAATTCAGACTGGAACAATTAGGGTTTGTTTTTTGTTTTTTTTCTCTCTTTATGTGGTAATTTGTAAATAAAATTTTACACATTGAAACCATGTTGCTTTCAAATTTGTTAAAGTTTCTGGTCTTGGTCTTGTGATTTTCTTTGATTGTCACCTTATGCATTATATATTTTCCAAATCTGGATTATTTTACTATATCTAATTCTAATCCAAACTGAGAAAATGTGGGGAAAGAGGTTTAGATATTAATAGGACTAGCTGAACTGTAAAAGAAAAAAAAAAGTTACCGTATATTTTCAGGGATGTATTGGAGGAGACGGGAAAGATAGAAAGCACAGGATTTGGGAAGGACAATGAGCTGGGACTGAAACTCATCTGCACTGTTGCATTGTATGTCAGAACTATAAAAAGACTATAGTTCCAGTAGAACTAATGTATGCAATACTGAAAAAAGGATGTGATGGACAGGCCATCTGTCCAGGGTGTTCCTCTGCCTTCAGCCAAAGATGTTGAGATGACCCTACATAGCCCCAGGTGAAAAAGAAATATATTTAAATTGTGCTTTTTCAGACATACTTTCTATATTTAAATTATACTATACTAAGTGCATATTAAATATTATTTTGAAACAACTTTAAGTATATTAAGTGTATTTCAAGATATGTTTAAGTTTGATTTTAATCTATTTGTAATATATTTAATATATTGAAATTGTGTTAAATAGGAACCACTTTAAGTATATTTAGTGCAATTTAAGTGTATTTCTTAATACATTTAAAATGTCCTTTTAATACTTCATGAACTACAGTTAGAGTATATTTGAAGCATCGTTTTAATGTACTTCAAGTACATTTCAATTGTATTTCAGCTCATTGGAAATGCATTAGCATTACACTACTAGTATATTATAAAGCTGCTTTTTTCAGTATATACACACACGTACACACTTTGATATCTAGAAAACTTTAATGTATTATATATTGTTGTGTACATTACAAATATTCATAAAGTACACTAAAAAAGGACAGCAGCATATATACTTTGGTGAAAAACAAAACAAAACATACTATTAAATGTATTAAAAATGCACTTGAAATACAAGTATGTTTATAGTATATTTGTATTACTACAAACATACTCAAGTACATTTTAATACATTATAAAAAAAACAAATAAAAAAAGACTGAAATGCTATGGCAGAGCTATCTTTTCCATTTGTAGAACATTTCAGTTATACCGGCCTTACTAAAAAGTACAGAATTTTACATCAATGAATAAATAAAAATTACAATGCAATTTTCTGAAGAAAAAAAATACATAAAAAAGACTGAAAAACAAAGTGAATAGCTGTGCGTGTGCAAAGACTGAAGATGATAAAGTTCAAGCAACAGAATAGGGAGGGATGGAGGGGGTTTTGGAGGTGGACAAGGAGATGGCGTAGGGATGGTGAGAGGCAAAAGTGCGGGATGATGGCAGGATGTGGCGAAGGGATGGTGATGGGAGGATGACGATGATGCCCTGGCAGCTTAGATGGTGTTTGGCACATGGCACAGACCCAGAGCATCCCAGTGCTGACAACACACGGCGGAATCGAGGGAGCGAGGAGCCAAGATGTAGATGGTGTGGCTGCCAACATCTGGGGGCCGACCGATGGAGACAGAGCTGGTGGATCCGAAGGCGCAGATGGAGGGCTGATGGAGCTGAGCGTCGTAGCAGGTTCCGGAGACCTGGGCACAGCCTAGTCGTCCTGACTCCTGGCATACAATATTTTGCACCAGAGCCTTGCAGCTTTAGAAAAAAACAAAACAGAAACAAAATGAAATAACAGATTATTACATGAATGACTGAAAGCAAGCACAAATTAGCCAGCTGGAATGGACACATTGCTAACGTTTTTCTTCCAAGATTGACCAAATCACCCTCCATTAGGCCTGATTCAAAAATCTCTATAACAGAGGTGATACAACATGAAAATATACTTACTATTCCTTTGCTTGTCTCTGCACTCAGATTTCAGTTTGTCTTCTATAGCAGCTGATCTGAAAAACAACAAATGTTAATATTTCACACACACAAAAAAGCAAATGATGATTGATGATTTGTTTTCTTTTTAAGAATGACAGTACGCTGAGAACAATGTACCTCAAAAACCTTCCCAGCCTCAGCAGTTTCAGATGTACTGTATGCTCTCATATAAGCTTCAGGGATGTCAGGGATGTATTGGAGGAGACGGGAAAGATAGAAAGCACAGGATTTGGGAAGGACAATGTGAAACTCATGAAACTCATCTGCACTGTTGCATTGTATGTCAGAACTATAAAAAGACTATAGTTCCAGTAGAACTAATGTATGCAATACTGAAAAAAGGATGTGATGGACTCAAAATACCCAAGTGAAAAAGAAATATATTAAAGTTGTGCTTTTTCAGACATACTTACTATATTTAAATTATACTATACTAAGTGCATATTAAATATTATTTTGAAACAACTTTAAGTATATTAAGTGTATTTCAAGATATGTTTAAGTTTGATTTTAATCTATTTGTAATATATTTAATATATTGAAATTGTGTTAAATAGGAACCACTTTAAGTATATTTAGTGCAATTTAGAAAAGTGACATGTGGCCAAGTATGGTGACCCATACTTGGAATTAGTGCTCTGCATTTAACCCATCCAAAGTGCACACACAGCAGTGAACACACACACCCAGAGCAGTGGGCAGCCATTTTTTTGCTGCAGTGCCCGGGGAGCAGTTGGGGGTTTGGTGCCTTGCTCAAGGGCACCTCAGTCATGGTATTGAAGGTGGAAGAGAGCGCTGTACATTCACTCCCCCCACCTTGTGTATATTACAAATATTCATAAAGTACACTAAAAAAGGACAGCAACATATATACTTTGGTGAAAACAAAACAAAACATACTATTAAATGTATTAAAAATGCACTTGAAATACAAGTATGTTTATAGTATATTTGTATTACTACAAACATAAGTAAGTACATTTTAATACATTATAAAAAAACATAAATAAAAAAAGACTAAAATGCTATGGCAGAGCTATCTTTTCCATTTGTAGAACATTTCAGTTATACCGGCCTTACTAAAAAGTACAGAATTTTACATCAATGAATAAATAAAAATTACAATGCAATTTTCTGAAGAAAAAAAATACATAAAAAAGACTGAAAAACAAAGTTCATAAGTGAATAGCTGTGTGTGTGTAGCATATTTCTTAGAAGTATAACTAAGCATATATTTAATACAAAAGTACTTCTAGTATACTTTTTAGAAATATATAAAAATGCAATTCAATATATTTTTATTGCACTTCAAATACGCATGTTGGGAATACAAATGTATTATAAACATACTACTTGAATTTCAAGTATATTTTTAATACATTTAATACTACGTCTTTTTCACCTGGGGCACAAGCTGTTTGGAATGTTGGATTGAGTTTTTTGTACATATGATTAACAGGGGCGGGGCGTGTGAACAAGCTTGGCCCACGCTCTGGCCCCCCTAAATTTGGAATCGTATCACACAAAACAATTTTGGGTGCAATGCGCAGTTTGTCCTGAGGGTGGCAGTAATGGAAAAAGTAAAACATCACCAGCTGTTACTGGCGCAGAGCCAGACACGTTTTTTACATGGCTGCGCATTAAAATCAATCACACACGATTCTGTTGAGCTTATACATTTTCTCATCATAAACAACAAAGTGCAGATGTGCGTATGAATGTAAGTAAGATATTCATTTCATAGTGTAAACCGCTTCAGTGATTTTGATGGGAGTTTTTGAGAGTGCCTGAACTCTGGCTAGACTGAAGTCAGTGATGGGTCAATGATGTATAAGGATTTTCGACAGGCCAATTTTAAAATACAAAAAATTATATCTACTGTAACTGTTCAAACATTAAGAATGTTGTGTACACATAAATTCATATTAAAATTTTAAATTAAATGATTTGAGTGTTTTTTCATCTAGATGAATTGGCCATAGCCTTAAAAAATGGCATGTGGTGCGACCATGATTTATATTAAAATTAAATAATTTCCTTAGAATGCTTAACATTTTTTTTAATGTTCTCAGTAATTAAAGTGTTTAGAAACAAAGTATTTGCATTTAATTTGAGTTTTTGTAAATAATGATCTTATTTTTGTTCTATAATTTCAGAGTTGCCTTCTTAAATGTAGTTAACAGACTTATTTTTCCTGTAAATTGCATAAAACTGATAAAAATGTTTTAAAAATACCATTCACTTAAGCATACTGTAGCAGTGATTCATATTTCAACCACAGAAATTAGATTTTTTATTTTAATACAGTTATTGCTATTATTGGTCGCACCACATGTGGTGCGACCATGATTTATATTAAAAATAAATAATTTCCTTAACATGATTAACATTTTTTTTTTAAATGTTCTCAGTAATTAAAGTGTTTAGAAACAAAGTATTTGCATTTAATTTGAGTTTTTGTAAATAATGATCTCTTATTTTTGTTCTATATTTTCAGAGTTGCCTTCTTAAATGTAGTTAGCAGACTTTTTTTTCCTGCAAATTGCATAAAACTGATAAAAATGTTTTAAAAAATACCATTCACTTAAGCATACTGTAGCAGTGATTCATATTTCAACCACAGAAATTAGATTTTTTATTTTAATACAGTTATTGCTATTATTGGTCGCACCACATGATGAGTGGTCGCTCCAAATGACACAAAGACCTCATATCATTAAAAATCTATTTAAAGAGACATGTGTGAAAAGTGCAGCACGTGGCATTAACTGCAGGCATTTCTTTAGCCCCAGTTATTTCTGTACTTTGCCCAATATTGGCTGCTCAATTGACCCTTTTTGCGGGGAGTTTAATTAACAGACAGTCTGACATATTATAACTCCGACAAACAAACCAGACAGGAGAGTAGATTAACGTCGGTGGACTTGAACTTGAAAAATGGTGTGTATTGACATCTTTTCACGGTTGAAACAAGATACCTTCTGAAGTTCATTCATGTTTATTTGTGCTATGACTAGTAAAGATGAAGAGATGATCGGTTCATGTGCTGCTTGAACTGAGGCGCTACAGCGATCTGTCACGACACGTTAAAGAGCCACAAAACAGTATTTGTTGTTTGAATTTCTTTATTAAAAAAAAAAAGACAAAATTTGAACACTGAGACTTTGTTTCATACTAAAAGTAACCAGCTCTGTCTTGTCTGTCGGCGCACTGTCAGTGTCCTCTTTGCTCTGTGATGTATTTTTCAATGCGTGAGAACATGATGCCGTGGCATAAAAGTGCCATGGTTTGTCGGACGTAGCAACAGTAACTAAGTGGGGTGGGTCTTTGCGAAAGGTCAATTTAGAGTAGGGGGAGGTTGCTGGCTCAGATTCTGAGATGACAATATGAACATCTTTCTTATAGTAGAAAATGACATCTGGAGTTTGTGCTCGTAGCACGAGGAGAAGACATCAACATACAATTCCAGACCAGGGAGAACTGAACGGGCTAGAACTAAATAGGGTAGATAACGAGGGGCAGACAGGTGATGGGGATAACTAACAACAAGGAACAGGTGATACTAATAATGAGAAAAGGAACTGGAAGGACCAAATAAGGAAAACAGGAACTCAACAGGAACATACACGTGACAGTGCTAGACTGCAGGGTCAGAATTAACATAACAAAGCTGCCTATGGTGAGTGTTTATTTTACTTTGCTTGGCAGTATAATCTGGTAGAATAGATTAAAATAGTTATTAATAAATAAATAATAAATTATTAATAAATGCCTAATTATCAAACTAAAATTACATGCTCTGAATTATTTATTTATTTTGCATTTTTTTCTCATATTGTACAAAGATTAAACATAAACCGTCTGAAATGACCCAAATTGCATAAAAATATATTCCAAATTATACTAAAATAAAGTATTTTATGTAAATAAACCATCATCAATTGAATATGATAGCACAAAAAATGCCAATTTGGGACATATATCTATAATGGAAAACACTCTGCAGTGGTCGCACCACATGATATTTTCAAATTCAGTCAAAATTTACAAGCACAGAATTGGTCACCTAAACAAAACAAGCTAGCTTCCCACAAAAGGTCACTATGAAATTTATAATGAAAATAAATAATTGCAGAAATAACTTATCATGTGGTATGACTTCAAAAAAACAATGAATAATATCCAAATGTGGTAACTACATACCAGCCGTTAAACAGGTAATTTTTTTCCAAATTTGAAAGAGACTTACAAACCTGTTTGATGCTTCCATGGGTCCTTGGCAAATTGGTATATGATGCAATGTCCTATCTTTGAATGGATTTCAACATAAAAGTCCAAAAATGGTAGTTTATTGATGGTCGCACCACATGATATTTCATAAAATGGAAATCATCGGACAAATCTTCAGATGATTTCAAAAATATTCAAAATATTCCCAAACGTGTTAACTATATCATGAAATATCTCGATTCTCAAATATGTGTAAGTAAATGCATTTTGCACCTTTATAAAGGTGCAAAATGCATTTACTTAACACGTTTAGTTAATAGTTAACACGTTTGGGAATATTTTGAATAAAAAGGAAAAAAATAAAACATAAGCCTATATCAGTTATACAGTGCTATTGTGGCTGCTGTGTCACATGACAAGCATGATGCCACTGACACTACAATACAAAATTATTTGTCAGATAAATGAAACATGATGAAACATTCATTTGAGTTTAAATTGTTATAGCTTACTTCTAGAGATTGCAGAAATGACATGGTGAAAAATGACTGAATGAATAATACTGAAAGTAGGTTAAAATTAATTTTAAAAGTGTGCCCCCTAAAAGCGCAAGTACCCATCCCCAACCAGATATTCAGATAACCACTTCTGTAAACATTTATTTTTCCATGTCTTAGCTTATGGAATATTTTATTCAATTATTATTGTCACAATTTCAGTTCAAGCTTTCACTAACTGGGTTCATTATTTGAGTATCTTTCTAGCAGCACAAGCTTGTTGTTTAGCTTGATTTTGAGAGGTGGAAATTGGGACA